GGAGTCGTTTATATTCTCAAGGCAAATTAATGAGCCATCTAAACCCCATCCATCGTGACACGGGCCAGCAAAACCTTCTCATCTCTACTCACAAAGAACGTCTTGCCATCAAAGGCTAAAAGCCAAACTATTTTTGCCTTACGTGGCCCATTGTTGGGTAGATCCGTTAGCTATCTATTGCCATTGTTTTTATTGTTTACTGCTTTCCTGATGAAGAACAGGTCCTCCTGAATGCCATGCAGTAAGTCAAGACTGCTTTTAGACAGGGTGAGGAATCGTTATCACACTATTAAAAGTGCTGGCATGCCATTTCTCACCCAAACCTTGAAAGCTCCTACTAAGTCATACCAACAGCCCGAATTATTTAAAACTTCCCATTAATATTGAAAAATTTAAACACTGTTCAGAAATAATCACCTCATATTTGGAAAATGCGGCCTCAGCATCCTTCAAAAGCGTTGCCAACTGATTGAATTGTTCCACCTCCCAGGATAGATTGCGCTTTGAGTCTAACCAGAGTTTCTGCAATGTACAGCTGCAAGTCAGTAGGCGCTGTGAGCAATTTATTCACCTCTGAGAAGGCCCATCTCAACTAACCTGAACCTTGAGAACAATCTTTTTGTCCTCTTGAGAAAGTACCTCGGCAGCCTTCAACAATTCCTTTAATCGGGACTCCAAGTACTGTGATTGTAGCTTGAAGTACTGAACAACAGGAAAAAAAGTAGAAGAGGAGTATCTCCTTCACATTCAAAAACTGGTTCCAATGAAGTTAAAGACGACTGATCAATCAGATGCAAGGAGTTCGAGGTTATTTAGTCCTTGACCTTGAGGCAAGGTCCAACATAGTAACAAACTTAAAGAAGAAAAGATGACAAAATTTATGCGCTCAAAGCTTTACAAAACCTCCGAGAAAAGGCTCATCAAAAGCACAGCATAGGGTTCAAAGTCAAGCACTTGGGTGAGTTTAAGAAAAGGAATGGGGGAAGGCGAAAAATGGCACATTAAAATGTGACCATAAGGTAGTAAAAGTCTCTCAAGCGGTGC